ATCACCTAAGAATAAAGCCAACATACAAATTCTTCAGACCTCCTTGGCAAAAATGAGCAATGCTGTTTTTTAAAATACAAATGATGTACACAAATTGCCATGGCCCAGAGGACGCTGACAGCCCTTACCAGTCCCAGGGCTCCCTAACACTAATAAAAAGGAAGTATTATCTATTTAGTGGAGCTTTACATTTAAATGTGCTTTTAAATTTTACTAATAAAAAAAAGATTTGCATGTTCTTCAGTTTTTCCTTGAAGTTGCTGTGAGTTGCTTGACTGCACTCCAGGAATTTATGAAGAAAAAAAATCTTATCCTGTAAAGAAATTGCTTTGGTTAAAAGGATCACAGGTCAGCAGGAGAGCACCTGAAGAGCGGCACAAACGAATTCCAGCCACTCCAGCCAGTGAGTCAGCTTCATTGGGGGCCCAACCTAAATGCCTCTATGGAAACACACATAGCATGGGGAATAAAAAAGAGGAGTTAGAGGTGTGCGCATGCCTGCAGGGCTATGATCTTATTGGCATCACGGAGACGTTGTGCTCCTATGGCTGGAGTATTAGAATGGAAGGATACAAGATCTTTAAGAAGGACAGGCAGGGGAGATTGACCTCTGTGTCAATGACCAGCTGTAGTGTATGGAGGTCTGCCTGGGGATGGATGAGGAGCTGACTGAGACCTGGTTGCCCAGGATATAGAGAAGGCTGAGGTACTCAATGACTTTTTTGCCTCAGTCCTCACCAGCAAGTGCTCAAACCACACTGCCCAAGTCACAGAGGGCAAAAGCAAGGATTGGAAGAATGAAGAACTGCCCACTGTAGGACATCAGGTTTGAGACCATCTAAGGAACCTGAAGGTGCACAAGTCCATGGGACCTGATGCGATGCATGTGCAGGTCCTGAGGGAACTGGCAGATGAAGTTGCTAAGTTGTGGCAGTCCACTGAAGTTCCCACTGACTGGAAAAGGGGAAACATAGCCCCCATTTTTAAAAAGGGAAAAAAGTAAGACACAGGGAACTACAGGCCAGTCAGTCTCACCTTTGTGCCCAGCAAGATCATGGAGCAGATCTTCCTGGAAACTACGCTAAGGCGCATGGAAAGTAAGGAGGTGATTGATGGCAGCCATCATGGCTTCACTAAGGGAAAGTTGTGCCTGACAAATATGGTGGCCTTCTACGACAGGGTTACAGCGTTGGTGGTTAAGGGAATAGCAACTGGTGTCATCTACGTGGACTTGTGCAAAGCACTGGACACTGTCGTGCACGACATCCTTGTCTCTAAATTGGAGAGACATGGATTTGACGGATAGACCACTCAGTGGTTAAGGAATTGGCTGCATGGTCATGCTCAGAGAGTTGCAGTCAATGGCTCGATGTCCAAGTGGAGACCAGTGATGAATGACGTTCCTCGGGGGTCAGGATTGGGACTGGCACTGTTTAACATCTGTTGTTGGTAATATGGACAGTGGGATTGAGTGCACCCTCAGCAAGCTTGCCAACAACACCAAGCTGTGTGGCGCCGTCGACACGCTGGAGGGAAGGGATGCCATCCAGAGGGACCTTGACAGGCTTGAGAGATGGACCTGTGCAAACCTCATGAAGTTCAACAAGCCCAATGCAAGGTCCTGCACATGGGTTGTGGCAATCCCAAGCACAGATACAGGCTGGGCAGAAAATGGATTGAGAGCAGCCCTGAGAAGAAGCACTTGGGTTGCTGTTGGTTGATGAGAAGGTCAACGTGACCTGGCAATGTGCACTTGCAGCCCAGAAAGAAAACCATACCCTGGGCTGCATCAAAAGAAGCACGACCAGCTGGTCAAGGGAGGTGATTCTCGCCCTCTACTCTGCTCTCATGAGACCCCACCTGGAGTACTGTGTTCAGCTCTGGGGCCCCCAACATAAGAAGGACATGGACTTCTTCGAGTGAGTCCAGAGGAGGGTCATGGAGACAAGCAGAGGGCTGGAGCACCTCTCCTACGAAGACAGGCTGAGAGAGTTGGGGTTGTTCAGCCTGGAGAAGAGAAGGCTGCGGGGAGACCTGATTGCGGACTGCCAGTACCTGAAGGGGGCCTACAAGAAAGCTGGAGCGGGACTTTTGACAAGGGCATGTAGTGATGGGATAAGGGGTGATGGTTTTAAACTGAAAGAGGGTAGATTTAGATTACATATAAGGAAGAAATTCTTCACTATGAGGGTGGTGAGGCACTGGAACAGGTTGAGAAGCTGTGGGTGTCCCACCCCTGGAAGTGTTCAAGGCCAGGTTGGATGGGGTTTTGAGCAGCCTGGTCCAGCGGAAGGTGTCCCTGCCCATGGCAGGGGGGGTTGGAACTAGATGATCTTTAAGGTTCCTTCCAACCTAAACCACTCTATGATTCTATGTTTCTATGTTTCTATGATTCTATGATTAAATAAAGATTTTTTTTTCATAAGTTGATTGCTTGTTAGTCTGCAGTGTTCATATGTAAAATCTCTAAAGTTTATAATGTACTGAATGTGTTATCTCTTAATGTGGATACACTAGCAAGGTAAGAGTCCACAGTTTAAATTATAACAAAAAAAAAATATTTCATCAAAGCCAATAGAGTTCATTCAGATGCTGTATATGTTAAAGTGGAAAAAATCTTCAAATATTAAAAATGTATGTGTTTGATGCATACCCAGATGCAAGTGTAGTCTTAAAATAGGGCTTCGTTTTCTCAGAAACAGTTTGACACTCCTTCTCTAATTATTTTTAACTTTTGTGTAGAGATGGGCAAAACCATTCACCTCAACTGATCAATTTGGCAAGAAGATAAGACTTCAACTGATACTCATTTTCATTCTGAAATGAAAGAGCAGTACAAAAATATATCAGTCTACAGAAACCTTCCCAACTGTTACTGTTTCAAGCGCTCTGTATTCGCAGCGCGCACTGTTCGTGGTATGTGATAGGTCATCTCTGGGGAGATGGCCAAGCTGCCACCATGGCAAAGGCACACGAGGGCTGCTCTCAATCTCTCCTGAATAAGCTTATCTTTCTTCATTAGCTGTACAGAGAGCCCAGGTTCTCAATTTAAGCAGACAAATTCTATGTTTAAAATAAATCAACGCTAAAATTTCTGACAGTGCATTTTTTTTCTGAAAATAAATACCCAGCACTTCTCTTTCTTTGGTAAAATTAATCTTTATGCCTAGGCATAACACTCAGCCTATACAATGTGTATCTTTCACCTCCTCTCTATTTCACAGTCTTAAATAAGGCTTAAATATTGCATAACTCCTCTTTTTAACTCTCTGTATGGTGAAGAATTTTGTGTTACATGAACAACCTGATGAAAACTTGCCCTGAAAAATATTGAGAGTATGAAAGAGAATACGAAGAAAGCCAACATTTCATATTTCACAGAAACTCCTAAGCGTTCAGTATTTGTTTTCATTTTGCACTGAAAAAAGATTGAATGCTTTTAATGTTTTATGAAAATATATCTGTGTTAAAAACATCAGGTTTTAAAGTTCAATCTCAGTTGGGTCACAGATAGTCAGAGACTTTACAATCAAACAAGCCATTTTCACCTAAAAGCTTTCTAGAATTCAACAGATTTCCATGTTTTTTCAAAATCAACAAATTAGCATCTTCCCACTGTATTTTATTAGAAATTTTTCAGTCAGCTTCACATTAGTGAAGAACGTTGTCAAATCGTGTTCAAACAAATGCTAGAGAACATTTATCTTCATTATTCTCTTAGCTCCTCTCAAGACATATATTGATTACCACCAGTTCAATGTCAAGGTCCTAAAAATAGAAAGCAGTATTTAATAAAAGGTAGAAGGGACATCATTTCTATCCTGGATTACCCCACAACTCTCGGTTGCACAGCAGGTAGGTGAAAGGAGCAGGAGGAGACTGCAGAGTATTATCAGTTTTCTCTTATGAGGAAGGTCTACGGCTTTCTAAGTTTACATGCCCTGCAAGGCTAGAAAGATTTGATACAGACTGGACACAAATTAATGTTTCAAAATGCAGAAAGTATCTGCAGCTATTTCATTACAAGGTGTGGCTTGACCCCAAGCGCTGAATTTACCCTCCCATCCATCACAGACTAATTATGTTTCCAGAAACAAAAAAGGATAATAATTCAATGTGATGTGCAAGGAAGTGACCATATAACTGCCATTAACCTATGCATCACACTAAGTAATTGTTCTAAAGTCATACCACTAATCCTGGCTTTGAAGTTTTGCTCACCTATTTCAAAAAAATGCCCCAAAGGAAAATATTTTGGCCTCCTACAAATGAGCATTTGTACTCACACCACAGCCATCATATAATATGAAGGTTACTATGTAATCAGCCATTGATCAAACTGAGTAAATGGGGGGAAATGCCAGCATTTATGCAACAGAAATTCCTTGTCACAGCTTCACTTACATTCCCAGGGGGCCCACACTATGTTGTGTAATTTATGCTATAAGGAATATTTATTAGACTGATTTACTCCATTACTGGTGCTGTACTATTAAATTCTGATATGCCTTAATGATGCATGAAGTATTGAGAAAAATTTTATGAGGAAAACAAAAGAACACGTAATCAAACCCAAGGTTGAAAAACTGTTCGAGAGAACACGTCATGTCTTCACTGACCACTGTAAGGCAATGGAAATGCCCCTGAAATAGCTCAGGGACCTTTGCATCACATTCTTCAGCATGCTGTAGGTATGCCCTGTGCTAGCAGAGGTTCAACACCTTAACTCCAAAGGGCTCTCCAGTAAAAGATATTTACATTAACTACTCCACTTCCAGCATGCCTTTCCTGAGCTATATGAGGGCACAGTGAAGCAGGGACGGATGAAATTCACAGGTCTCTTGGGAGGGACATTGAGGCTCCCTGACCACAGTCTTGACAGGTGTGCACAGGCCTTTTATTGCCTAGGATCATAATTTCAGTTCCTATTCTTAAGGACTCTCCTTTTAAAGAAAACATGTATTATTTTTCCATGCTTCTAAAAAAAAAAAATAAAAATGAATTTTCTGTTCACTGGATTCCTGGCAGCAGCTAAAAGAGTTGGCAGGGGTTTCCCTGTGAGTGCACGTAGGACCAAGACATAATCCTGCCTTTGACAATGTACTAATGAGTGATAAATTCTTTCAAATGCAAAGAAGGGAGCATGGATGTATTAATAATCTTTAAGCTCTGTTACTGAAAACAGTAGTTGCCTGTTCCTAATTATGTAAGTAAAAAACATGCTGCATCAGAAAAGTCTTTTCCCCAAATCCCCAAGTCAGTTGTTTGCTATGAGCAGAGCAGGATGAATACTGCAGACAATACTTGCAGCTATGAATATATATTTTTAAAACATCAGTCCTGAATTCAGTTTTATTGATGTTCACAACTCCTTTCACTTGCTTCACAATCTTTATTTTTTGTTTGTGAAAATATTCATGTAACCAGATTGAGTAATAAAAATCACACAGGTTTCAAAGAAATGGCAAGTAATGAACATGCTATTCTGTTTGCAGACACCTGATTTAATGAATAAAATGGTGAATATATCGTGTTCAAATCCACTTCTTCTTATGGACACTTTATAAATTTAAATAGGCTAAACTTGTTTACTGAACAGGTCACTAAATGTCCACATTACAGGCTACAATACAGCTACACAAGAATAAGAGAGCAGAGAAAACAATGTCATACATCACTCAGCAGAGAATCTGCTGCTGATTAAGAGCCCTTGGAACATTTATGGAGAAAAAAACCCCAAATCCTCTGCAAGGCTCATTAGCTCAGACACAGTGCTATGCTAACAGCTGGCACACAGCTGGCTAACTCTTGCATGAGCAGAACAGATGTACATCTACCTACAAAATGGTGCGGCAACGTAAGAACTATACTGGGAGGAAAGAAAACCCATTGAAGGAAACAGAAGACTCACACGAGTCCAGTTTTGGATGGAAAAATCTTCTCAGTTCCCTATTGGAACAGAATCAAGGTCCTTTAATTTTGGCAGGCTGTCTCTCACAATGGTCGAGTTGAGATGTTTCAAATGAAGAAGGAAGAACTGCATACCACAACTATGACAGATATTCACCCAATAAAACTGCTAGGGGTTTGGTTGCATCTTGAAGTTTACCAATCCTTGAAAATGTGTTGGCAGCCAACATTATCAACATTTTGCAATTTTTTCATCATTATATGAATATTCAACCTTGGAATTTTGCTTAGTCTTTGGCCTCAGTGACAACCTGTACAAATGCATTTCATGGTTTAATTATATGCTGTGTGAAAAAGAACTTTCCCACACAAATTTGAATCAGATTCCTTTCAGTTTCACAGAATATCTTCCTCATTATATATGACAAGAAACAATAACTTGCAATCTATTCTCTTTCAGGCTATTCCATAGGTTTGAGATTTGTTGGCGGGGGTGGTTTTTTGCTCATTTGTTTGTTTTTTAAGTGTTCACTCATATG